GAAATCGACTTTCTTTTTTGCTGAAAAACTGAAACAAGTTGTTGACATTATCTATAATATCAATTTTCAAGACCACCACTTCAATTGGAATATTTACAATAACAAGAAAATTTCAGAAGCACTCCAAACTCTAGATATTGAAAATATTAACTGTTATGATTTTGAAAATCTTTACACCACTTTACAATTAGAAGAAATATTTGAAAACCTTCTTACTCTGCAATTTGTTTTTGCAAATTCTTACAGTTGTCTCCAAGGAAGAATGGAAGCTTTCCTAAGAAGTGTATTATATAACAATCATATCAAATTTAATAATCAGTTTTTTAAACAAGTACCAGGAATACCAATGGGCTCGAGCAGCTCATCTGCCATTTATAATCTATTCACACAAGAACATAAATTTCAGATATCACTTAATTTGGATCAGCATAATTATTTTTCTAGCATTTATAGATATGTAGGTGACATTATTGCAATCAATAACTTTAATAAGATTGAACATGCAAATATATATCCAACTTGCCTTAAACTTAATAATACAGTACAAAGTCCGTAATCCGGACTCGTTGGGACTTCAGCGAATCCAGATTAGGGGATTTTCTGGATTATAGATCATCAATTTAAGTCTGGTAAGATGGCAGGCAGAAATTATATAACATATGTAACGATTTATGATATAAGAGCAATTATGATCTAAAGGAATCAAAATTACAAAAAAAAAAAAAAAAAAAAAAAGCTTAACATTTATTGTTTACTAAACATTCTTTTCAATGTAAGTTGTTCAAGTTGCTTCGTTTTTTATGCTAATACTTTCTCTTTTAATTCTGCAGACAGACATAATTCCTTGTTCAGTCATAAAGTTCCATTGTTCAAGTCCTGTAATTGCTATGTCAAGAATTACCGACCAACTTCTCAATCGAAAATGTTTCGTTTTCAATAACCTTTCTGTCACCTTTCTTCACTAGCGGTAGTGCATTTTCTGAATCTAGAACCAGAAAATATGCATATTACAGGTTTTGCCATCCTGTTAAGTGGATTCATAATTGGGGCACTGTCATTCGCAAAGAAAATCTTCAGTTATATCATCTTCCTTTATTACCGCCTTCTCCACATTTCTTTACAAAATACAATTAAACTGGAAAATTTCACCTTTAGTTTGTGCAATATCCGAAAACCTTCAAGATTCGTGGCTATCATCTTCATTCGTCCTTCACCATGAAATGTGGTAGCTGGCCATAAATTATGCCAAGCATTTTTTAACGTATCTGGAGACACATTCATTCCCACGATCTTGCGATGCTTCCACACAGGAGATTTTATGCTAAAATATTTCAAAAATTCCTGAAGAGAATAGTCTTGTCATTGTTCAAGAAATTTAACATGGGCTTTGTAAAAATGCTACTTTATATTTGCATTTCAGCATGCGTGCACTATTGTCTTATCCATAGGCTGAATGATAGATGTACAATTTTGGAGGGAAGAATAATACGGATACATAACTTCCGTTACAACCATTCTTTCACTAAAACTTGTAAGTGAAGTATGACGCTGAGCTGTTGTCAACAATCAGGACTGTTTTTTTTTTTGCAGGTCATCACCGGTCAAATGTTGCCGACAAATCAATTAAAAGGTAGCCTCGGGTATAAAATGATTTTCAAACCAATCGTGCGTCGACGCTTGTGTCATCTATGCTCTTTTATTTGTGCAATATATAATGTGGAAAATCGTTACTCCTTTAAATGCTCAAGGTCGTGCATGTTTTCCGATTACAAAATGTTTTCACTTGTGCATTCCTGCTGCATTTGTGCAGGCTAAAATTGTTGGTCTCGCTTTGGAATCTTTGACACCAGTTAAATCAGTTAAGAATTAGAATCAGTAAAGATAATTTTAGCCTAGCTTATACCGTTTGTTATACATTAAACGTGCATGCGTAAAGCATACAAAAAAAGTTTGTGATTTTGAGGTCCGGAGTATAGATCATTTCAGATAATGGGCATCTGGATTACTGACTTTGTACTGTACTAACCCACAGCAAAAAGAAATCATGTATTTTGATTTACAAATATTAAATTACAAAAATATCAGAATCTATGATAAAAGAAGAGATTTCAATATTCTCACCTTAAAACTCATCAATTGGAATTCAAACATCTCTAAGAAAGTTGTTATTATTAATACTATTAATATCCAATTACATAGAATCAAAAGAATTTGCAATGATACTGACTTCCTTTGAGAAGAAATATAGAACTTTATTAATATCTTCTTAGAAAATCAAATTCCAAATTTCACAATTTTGCATACTTTAAAAAAGTTGGCATTAATTTTACTTTTTAAGTTACTTGTTTAAAGTGACATGATATTTTTTAATCAAACCTTGAAAGAGGTAACTAGTGGATGATTTTTATGAGTAATTTAATGTGAATATGTAATTAAATTTATCTTTTCTTTTTGAATTTGGCTAAAATAACATTATGTATTCTATGGAATTTCCAGCCATTCTGTTCATTCACTAAAAAAAGGGTTTGTTTTAATTTCTTTAGACGTTTGTATAGCTCGATTGCTTGAAGAATTCCGACCTTTTTTAGCCTCTTTTTTCACTTTTCGTCTGCTTTTGGCCAGTTTTAAAATGTGATTGTTTAAAACTAAGCCATCTTGGATGGGCTCCAACTGATGTCAAAGATTCCAAAGCGAGGCTAACAATTTTAGCGTGTGCGAATGCTGCAGGAAAGAGCAACTGTAAGCTTTTTTAATTGGAAAAAATACACGACCTTGAGCATTTAAAGAAGTAAAGACTTTTCCCCGTTATATATCGTGTAAATAAAAGAGCATGGATGACACAAGCGATAATGAATGCTTGGTTTGAAAATCCTTTCATACTGAGGCTCAGCATGAGTCAACTGTATGGCTTATATTTCACTTAAAGTTTTAGTGAAAGATAGTGTATCCATATTATTCTTTCCTCCAAATTGTACATCCATCATTCAGCTTATGGATATTGGAATAGTGCGGACGCTGAAATGCAAATATAAAGTAGCATTTTTAAAGTCCATGTTAAATTTCTTGAATAGAAGCAAGACTATTCACAAATTTTTGAAACACTTCAGGTATTTTAGCATAAAATCTGCTGTATGGAGCATCGCCAGATCGTGGGAAGATGTGTCTCCAGCAGTGCTTCCAGAAAATTTTCAACTAAAGTAGCAAAGACTCATAAAGTCACAAATGATGTCAGAGATCACGTGATCTTTGTGACGTCATAGTTTCGCGTGCTCTGACATCATCGCAAATTTATTGTCTGTTGGTTCTGTAAGTTGCAGACTATATTCGATTCTTAGTATTTTTAATCACATGACCTCTGACATCATCACAAATTTACTGTCTATTGGTTCCGCAAGTTACAGACTGTATTTGATTCTTAGTCTTTTTAATAACGTATCTTAGCTTTAACGAAAATTTTAAAACCATATTGCTCATTTTCAATTGTTTTAATATCCATTTCTTTTTTTAATTAGTTCTCATTTAATTAAGGTTTCTGTTTTTAAATTAATTTGTGTGTATCCATTCTTAAGAGATTCCTCACATTTAGACTGTTAGTGCTTTTGTACTAAATTTTTTGAGTTGGCAGTTAAATTTTTTTTAATTCATTTTTTTTCCTTATTTGTGAAAATTTTAACTGAGGAATTCTTTTCAGTGAGGTTTCCATTCTGCGTAGTGAATTTATTTCGGATTTTGATTACTTAAAAAAGCCTTGTTCTTTCACTGTTAAATTTATTTGTGTTGTTATTTAAAAAAATGCTGTTGCTTTAATTTTTAAGTCATTTCTATTACTTATTTCTTACCAATATTATAATCAGGAGAATGAATGTTTCATTTTTTTTTCTCTGTTTGGGTACCCAATATATGGCATGCAAGCTGCAAATTCTTTTTTTCGATTTGTCATCCCCATAGAACTAGAGGTGGGGAATTGACTTAAAAACAAAACATGTGGGGAATGAGGGGGGAAGGCGAGAAGTCCCAAAGCAGTTTTTTTCTTTCCCACTTTTTCCCCTTCCCGTACATCCTTCTTATTATACTGGCATCAGGCTGTGCAGTCTTGAAAAGTAAAGCCCACATGTAAACATGAATGCCAGATGTCAGTGTCTATTTAAGCCTCAATAAACTGTTTTTTTAAATATAAATTATATTTAATTGACACATTATTTTAACATAAAAGCATTTTACAATACATTAAAAAAAATCTTTGAAGTCACAAAAAGCAGCATAAGAATATAATGGATGTCATAAAAATTTTTCAAAATCGCAAATACTAAAATTTTAATAGCACGAGTTTGTCAGAAGTTGCAGATTTGTGAAAAATTGCAGGATCTGGCAACACTGGTCTCCAGGTACTTTAAAAATGCTTGGGATAATTTATGGCCAACTACCATATTTCATGGTGAGGATGATGAAGATGATAGCCGAGAATTTGAAAGTTTTCGGATATCAAAAGCAAAGGTGAAATTTTCCAGTTAAATACATTTTGTAAAGAAATGTCGAGAAGTGGTGATAAATGAAGATCATATAACAGAAGCTTTTCATTGCAATGACAATGACCCGATCATCAGTAAATTAATGGACAACGACAATTAATGGACAATTCAGTGGAATGAAACATGTTTTTCATCACTCATTAATCAACTAAGCTTAAGGCATCAAAACACTTTACCCTTGATAAGTTCTGTTTGAACTGTTTAACAAAGGGGATTAAAATTTTTTATTTGGTTTTTAATATGTACAAATTTTTTTTATTTTATTTTTTTTATTTTTTATTTTTCCTTTGCAGTGAATATTTTTTATTATAAGTTTGTAATTTTCTTTGATTTGCATTTTACCAGTTTATATTGTAACATGCAGAAAATTGGATGAACCTCCAAATAGTTAATACAGCATTTTATTCTTTTTCGTTCCGATTTTTGAGAATTTTATTTTATATGTTTATGTATGCATATTTAATGTTTCAGATTTTTTTGGAATGCTTGCCAGAGGATCGTAATTTATGGATAGATAGTACAAAATTGAAGAGACAATATTATGAAGAAATTTTAGATAAAGTAAGAATTCTTGTACCTTTTAAATTACTAGAAATTTCCTTCTTTAATTGGGTAGAAGTATATGAAATGAGAAAATTTTCCTTTCTGTTAATGCTGCTTTGTTTCATGCAATGAAATTAAGTTTTGAAGCTTTGTTTTGTAAAAATGTCTGTTGTTTATTCATATCATATTTGTTTGAATAGATGTTGTTTTATTAATGCAGAAGAGGAAGACAAAATTTCAAAAATCTGAAAAATTTAACTTTATATTAACATACTATTCAATTGAAGAGACAAAAAGGAAAACATAATTCATGTTGTGAGCATTGAAAATTAACGTAAGCTAACATTCCGATTCAAATATTATAATCTTGTGAAAATGACAGTACCATCTGTTTAGGAAAAAGAAATGAATTTCAGATTCATGAAATAGAGTAAAAGATTCTGATGACTGAAACTGGATCAACTTCAGCATGAATTTTTGTGATAAAAAATCATAAGAAAAAAGTCATAAGAAATATTGAAATGGTGAAGTTTATTAACCGTATTTTAGTTTTTTTTTTGCAGTTATTGCAGAAGAAAAATTGAAAAAAATAGTTATAAGATCCAGAATGGTGAACAAATTGTCAGTAGTTCTTCCTTTTTGCCTAGAATATTCAAGTTATTTAATGTTGAATTTGAAGTTTTATTCTTTATGTGTTATTTAACTCATGGCAAAGCACACTAAGAATATTTGCCTAAATTGATGATGTTTTTGTGGATAACTTTTTGAAGAAATTGGCTGTTGCTAACATTATGCATGGGTTAAATGATAAAAAAAATCCTGTACTAGTAGTCCATTCATGAGTATTTAATCCCTGGTCAAACTAGCAGAGTTCAGCAGCCAGCTCTTAGCCATTATTGATTGTAAGATGTCTTTGTGGGTTGTTAATAAGTGGAAATAAGATTATTCAAAATCAGTTGAATATTATTTATTCTACAGTACTTGCTACTAATCTTTATTATGGTTGTAGTCGCATGTTCAGCATTACAATTACAGCTACATATATGACAGCTCCCTTTTTAACAAAAATAAAAGCTTATACATTATTTTCTTTGCACTGTATACACATTTGCTTTATGTGAAAAATCATCTATGATAGAAAAATGTAAATTTTTCCATGAGGGCTTTATGTAGACATGCTGGTACCAGCTCAGTAAACTTTTTCTGCTGCATTTTTAATATTTAATAACTTGACCTAACTGAAGTTTCAGTATTTATTAATTTTATCTACATTACAATTGATTTTTCCATTTAAGAACTTTAACGACTTCTGCAGAGTTGTTTGTACTGATGCACAATAAAATATCTAAATTTGTATGACAGAATTGTCTGTGTCTACTAACTTAGCATCTAAATAATTACTGTTAGAAGTACAGTATATCACAGGCTAAGCTTTGTCAGGCAAACCATGGATTACAAAACTTTTTCTTTTTATACGTGGTAGATGCATAATTGTTATTATTTTGCATCTCACAATGTCTAAGTTTGCAATATGATCATGGAAATTAGAGAACCAGCTGTGATCTTTACAAAAATGAGATGATGTTGATTAGCCACTGATTTGAAGTTTATTGAGCAGGGAATTTACATTTTTAAACTGAACTTCTTTACCTTCCCTCTGATAACTCATTCTAGAATACATCAGCAAAGTGTCTTGACCTTTATTACTGTTCAATACTTTCCCTGTCTTTGATTCTAACATTTTGTTTTTCTTTTACACTGACAGTTTTTTAGTTTATGCCCAGGTTTCATGTATTTGAAATGTAAAATTCTTGACTAAGGCTTCACTTCATTGTATACTTTCCAAAATAGGAAGGGAAAGCTATTGGTTGCTAACTATTGATTTTGATATTAAGAATAAAGTAAAAATTTTACCTTAATTAAATAAATATTAAAAATCTTACCTTTTCAGAAGATCTTTCTAATCCAAATAAACCAGAAATACTAACTGAAGATGATCTACTCATTAGACAAAGAGTGTTCTGGAATAATAACGTAATTTAATTCACATTACTAACTAATTATATATACAACAGACTGAAGAGGAGTTATCAGGTATATCTTTGGTTTAATTGTTCATTAATAGTTTTAAAAAAGTTCTGGTTTCAAGGGAACGTTCATGCGCAAATCACATGGTGTAGATTGTTCAGGGAGAGTTTCAACATACTTCCACTTTTAAATTTGTTGACCAATCAAGTTTAAAACTGTAACATTTAGACAGGCTTTACCTTTCAACCTTTTAGTTATTGATGAAATCTTGTGGCTCTTAAGATCTTGAGGTGAGTCACTATGAACATCAGGTTGGGAGTAAGTTACCATCTTACCAGAAGAGCTGCTTGTTTTATTTCTAAAGGGCTGACTGTTTTTTCAGACTGTTCATCTGAAGATATTATTTCCAGTGAACATAAATGCTTGGTTAGTCATAAAATTTCCCCAGGCTTAGTCTTGACCTTTACTAATCCTACATGTCCATCCCAAGATTTGAAAATCTCAATTACTTTTACCAACAACCAATCTGTTTGCTTCTTGTTATTATTTGACTCTAAATCTGCTATTTTCAAAGGTTGTGAGCCTTTTATATGTTCATAGTTTTGCCATAATTGATAATTCAATTTGAAGCCTTATACATAGATCTTATAAAAGTTTTTGTTGGTATATAAGCCTTTTGTTCAAAGATTTTGCCTTCTATATCACCCATATCAGGAACTCCAATTACTCAACTCATGGGGAAACATGGAAGGCGTGATTGGAGATAATTCTTCAACATCTTTTGAGACATATGCCAAAGGATGAGTATTCATTGTTGCTTTACAGTTGTGCAAAATACTATTTCTTCATGATTGAGAGAGGATCATTCGAAAACTTTATGAAGGATTTTTTTCAGGACTTCTGTTAAGATCTTCCCCAGCATCTTCCCCAGCAGGAAACTGGTGGCAGAAGAAATTTCCATGTGATCTTATGACTGCTCGAATGTTCTAAAATTTTATCCAGAATTAAGCTTTTGGATAATCTGTTACTTGTGATATTCATTCCAGTGTCGGGATAGGTGGTATGGTGTCTTGCTCTTCTAGCAGTGAAATGTGCAAGTGCTTGAAGGAAACTTTCAGTTGATAAAGAGAAAATCAATTCCAAATGTATTGCTAAAAAATGGCACAAGTAAAAATTACCATCCATGATTTTTAATTTCCTTTCAGTATCAATGGTCCAGTCAACACCTATAGTCTCAAAGACTGCTGCTTCTCTTACTTAGTTTTCAGGGAGAGGTGGAATGGGTGTTTTTAACCCTTTAATGGTTTGACCCGGAATATCTCGTACTTTTACGCAGGCTTCTTAACGGTTTGTCTTGGAATATTGTCATTTTAAATATAACCTCGAAAACGGACTGTCCTGTGTTTTTGTTAGACTTAAAAGATACGTCAAGAATGGCTAGCCCAGATTTTTCTCTTACTTTCAACCCCATGTGCGTCAGAGGACGAGCATTGCACCAATTCTTAAAACAATAGGTAATGATCCTCAATAGTGCGGGGAGAACTCTTCTTGATGTTTTACGATAACGGCCTTACACTGGTTCTAAAGAAACAAGCAATTTGTTACCAGTTAGAAAGTGAATAGAAAAGGAATTAAGAATTTCTGTTTTAGAGTTATAATTAAGAAATAAAAAATAAAGATTTTTATTGAATAAGCTTTTTATTTATAACTCATAAAATGGATTAATAAATTAAGAAGATAAAAGTAATTTAGATACTATTCTGCTATTGGGAGAGATTCAAGGATGCATGTATACATGTATGTATGTATGTTTCTGTGTGCATATATGTGTAAACACATACATATGTTTGCACATATATACACACATGCATGAACACATACGTCTATATATATTACATGCGCTTTAGAATCCTTTACCAATAAACAAAAGTGTGCCATAATTTATTAAGTAGATCAATATGAAAAAGCAATTAAATAATATTCTTTACTAAATTCATCTGCAAATTTATATCATGAATATTAAAGAAATTGGCGCCCTTGATATATTTGTAAAGGCTAAATCTCTGACACTACTATTTGACTACTTTATTTCATTATTTAAGTGCCTACACGTTTGTCATAAATTGCAAATAAATATTGTAATGAGGCTTAATTAATATCTTGCTGCCAATAAAGTATGTTATAAATTATACTTTGCTTTCGCCTTATTTCACGAGTTTTGAATAAAAGCTTATTTTATATAAACTTTTCAAATTTTTTATCTGTTTAGTTTTAATAGCACATTTTCAATGAAATTTTTAAGTTGAAAAATCATTTTTCAACAATAAATAATAATTTTTTTTTTTTTACTTCCAATAATTCTCTCATCTCCAATAGTCGAAAACATTTTCTGACTTTAATAATTCGCCCTGAAATCAGAAGTTACTTAAAAAATTTCATACAAATTTTATTTAAAAAATTGTTTTATGCTGGGAAAACATTAAAGTTTTAAGATTTTTGTGCTTTGTATTGTAAATGAAAACATGTGCAAAAAATCGTATTAACATTAAATTTTAAGAACTTTAATGAAATTTCATAAACTCGATTTACCATGTTGTAGTATCATCCGCAATCAATATGTTTACAAAATTTGAACTCGATAGCTTATCAGGAAGTAGTTTAAAAATCTTTGATGACCTTCTATTCATAGTGACAAATACCATGAGTGAACTAAATATGTGCTACTTGTATGCAGAAATATTATTCTCTTTCAAGCAGTTCATCAGAAGAATTTTTGCATATTTTTAATTACTCGAGTTGTATATAACTACTCATGCTCGCTTATGAGATTTACTGTCATTTTGTAAAAATTGTCTTCTTTAATATATTATTTCGCCACTCCCACACTTAATGATTTTATCACATTCTGATGAATGGAAGGTTGTGAAAACCAAACATTGAGTAGCAGGTACTCATAAATCTCACTAATAAATGCTATGAAAATACAACTC